TTTTTTGATTTAATAAACTCAAACATGTGGCACTACTTAGTAGTGTTTGGTGATTACTATGATTACTACACATAACATTACGTTTATCTTACATTCTTACACCGTGTGTTCTCTTTACTAGAATGATAAAATCGTGGCTGTATTCCGCAAATGCTGCCATATATAGTGCATCAGCGACTTATTTACGACTTTTTGAAAAAAGTTGAGAAGAAAAATATCACTAGATGGTGCTGATCTACATTTTTTTTTTTCGTTAGTGGTTATTGCGTCTTTACATACCGTGCTCACGGCGTGATAGCAGATTGTGCGGAATAAGCTTATAACATATTATATCCCACAATCGCAAGACGCAAGTACACTTGCGCAATTAATTTGTACGCTCGCGTGTGTTGATGGTGCTTTTTTCTTAAAAACATTATAAAAATTGCAGCCTAAAAGTTGAACAACAAAATGGCCCTCACCCTTACTCCGCGGACGAAGCAGAAAATAGCTGTCGTGATGAGCATTTCGAAAACGGTGTTTCATTGGGGCTTCATTCCTGCGGTGTTGTATTTAGGTTAGCTTTGCCAAAATATCTCTAAAATCTCTACGAAAAGTATTGTAATTTATATTCATGAAATAACGTGTAATCATTGCCTTTCAGGTTTTCGTAAAGGTGCAGATCCCGGTATGCCTGAACTGTCATTTATGAAGTGAGTAAATTTTTATAAAATTACTTGAATATTTTTACTCAATGAATTTTGATTTTATGATTGCCATTACATTTTATTTTAAGCAAAACTGTATCACTGAAGATGAAAAAATAACACAATTAAACAAAAAAATTTTTTATTGTTACAGTTTACTTTGGCAGTAAAAAAAGTTCACGTTTCCTTCAAGTGAGAATCCAAAGCATTTCCAGCAAAAGTGGCAGCTTCTTGTAAATTGAAGCATTATGAGATTTTTTACAGTTACTGTTACTTTAAACTAGTACAAAATGTATATAGCTATGACGCGAAAGAAATTTTTATTGCATTGAATGTCGAATATTTGAGTGCAAAGTACTTGAAAATTAAAAGTATGTACAAAAAAAAATAAAAGATTTAATTAAATGCATTTCTTACTCGTTATTTATGTTAGTTTCCATTGACAATTGTATATTTTTGATAACGTTGACATAATACAAAATTGGATTGAACACTTTTGTTAATGTATACATCGTTAGATTGCAAAATTAAGGTTTTTTTTAACACTGTTCTCGGTAAGATGAGAGCAGCTCGCCTTAAAGCCGGCAACCACTACCACAAATGTATGTGGTGATAAACGTGTAACAAGCGCCTTTAACACGAGTCATCTGTAAAACCGAGCCGAGTGAACACCACGCGGTCATGCTGCGACGGACTATTTGTTATTTATTCAAAATATCCTTTAATAGTTGTTGTTCTGTTCTCGTTCGAGTTGTAAAGTGAAAGATTTGTGTTTCTTTCGTTGAATCGGGCCAGCACAACTGCTGCACAACAGAAATCGTAAGTAAAATCTTTCTAACCTGCATTTGACAGGGAGAGAGAGCGCTCACACACGATTGTCAAGTAGTTTTACCGATTATCAGATTTAAAAGGACATTTACTTTGAGTTTATTTTGAATCTTAAAAACACTCGTGTTATTTTCATTTTCAACTTTTTAAGAATAGTAATTTTTTCGTCGTTATGTGGCACCATATTGTGTCATGACTGCAACTCCATAACTTTCTCCTATTAATAGATTTTTATAAAATTATACCGATCAATTGCTTTGGTTTTTCAGTGGTGTACGACTAAAGTTTTTACAAAATTTTATTTAATTCACAGATGTCTGTCGTGTCGACGCCATACAGCAGTGTATCTTCTATTTTAAAAAGTTCTGGTGCAAGAACTTCTCTAATTAGGGCACAAAAAAAGATAAGCTTCAAGTTACCTAAAAACTTAAAAGTTATCCTTACGAATTACGAAAATGGGTGCAATCGTCAAGAGTACCAAGATACGATTTGTATCATCAGAGACACAAATATCAAGGTAAACTGTTAATTGAATTTTTTTTTTAACTTAAGAAGAAATGAGTCTTAACTTTTTTTTTTTCATATTAATGAACAAACTTAAAAATTTTAATGATCTTAAGCATTTTAAAAATAAATTAATGAATTTCAGGAGTATGATCTGCTCGAATTTTTGAGTAGTCTTCAAGAATGTGTGTCAATGCTAGGCAAAAATCACAAATTTTTGATTGAAGCTATGTTGAAAATCAATTGGATCAGTCGATCTTCCGAAGTTATTGCCAGTTATAAAAAATTCATCGAAGATTTAATGTGTATACACATTTATCATTCAAAACTAATATTTGACAATCTTGTTAACCAGTTTAAATTGAGTGAGTATCGACTTAATATTTTTCATCTCCAAAATAAATTAAGCAAACGATTTTTTAATACAATTTTTGTTTTTGTTACATAGCTGAAGATGGCGATACAAAATGGTGTGAAGGAAAATGCCCAGAAAAATATTTGACAAAATCCAACCATGTGCACGATTTGTTAAAAAAATTTTTAAGGATTATACCAATGTATGCTCAAAATACAGTTATATATTTTGAATTAGCTATAACGTTTCTTAATCTGTTACGTAATTTTAGGTCGATAGAAATTTTTCTTCAAACTCTGGAGTTCCACTATCCTCGTACTAATGAAGGAATATTAGTTGCAGAACAGTATCAGTTTTCATTAATACAAATTCTGAGCTATGCACCCCAATTACGAAAAGAAATTCTTGGTCTCATTATTAGAAAGTTAGTTTGAAAATATGTAATTTATATCCGTACATAGACTTTTATTTTACAACGGTATGTAAAAAATAAAAATATTTTTCTAGGCTAACAACTTTGGATGTAACCATTCCTCCCTCGGAGATACTTGCCTATGATGAAAATACCGATGATGATTACGATGATGACGAAGAAATGTTCGACATGGACGACGCGAATGACAAAAATAATAGTAAGGCCTTTAAAGATACAGAATTGAAACATCCAGATGCTGAAATATTGGACGTGTGCATGGAGCAGATATTCTCATATGTATATGACTGCTGCCACGTCGATGGACAGTTACAAATTGAATCGATAAAAAGCATCTACAATGATTTATTACACAACTTTGAAAGGATAATTTTTACGACACAGTCCAGTCATCACGTACAGTTTATAATGTTCTACCTTTGTAGCTTCAAGACACTAGTAGCAGAAACATTTATCAGACGCTTATGGCAGGCTGTATCGAGTCCTTCTGTAATTACTCCAGTTAGGCAAACGTCTGTGGCTTATATAGCTAGTTTATTAGCTAGAGCAACGTATTTACGAATCAAGTGAGTATTTTAAAACGCAACTGTCGTAAAAATTGTAATAATGTGTATGTAATAGTTAAATAATGTATGTTCGAAATTCCGTGAAATGCATAAAATCAGTACCATTGTAGTTTTGTTATTTATACTAAATTTTGAATTTAAATTTTAGTTTGATCCAAGGCGTGCTATCGGAAATAGTTTCATGGGTGCACAGTTACATAAGTTCACAAGATAGCGTCGAGTCCGCAGATCCCACAGCTCATGCTCTTTTTTACTCCATGTGTCATGCAATATTTTATCTCATAGCCTTTAGACATAAGGATTTGACGGAAGGAAAAAAAAGTGAGTCGTCAAGACAAATTTTACGAAATTGAAATTGAAAATATTATTTTATTTGAATTACAATATCCTTGTTTTTCAGATCTACTATTCCTGCAAGAACTCAATATCACAAAAATAGTCACAAGCAGACTGAACCCGCTGAAGTTCTGTCAACCAGCCGTCGTGCAGAACTTCGCCGCAGTCACGAGAAAGTACCAGATAGCCTACTGTTACACGGTAATCGACCGAAACTCGCGGAGCAATTTACCAGTGCTGTATAACACGAACTGCACCGTTACTGCGCTTGAAACCTTCTTTCCGTTTGACCCGTATCTTTTGCCGTTAAGCGGACGTAGGATAGCGCCTATTTACAACAGCAGCGCCAATGCAATGAACAGCAACGCTACCGACTCGAACGCTGCGAAAGACAAGTCGTGCGACGAGAATGACTTTATGGATGACAGCTTCCTGTCTTGCAGTCCGGAGCCAAAAAATCACATAGACAAGTTCTCGTACAGCACTTCACCGGGTTTCATGTACACTTGATTGCGCGTCCATGGCGATTAATGGGGTTTTGTTATCCGGGAATAGTCAAGTATTAACGAATCGTTTGTTGCCTATATTTATATTTTGTATTTACAATGAGGGCAAGACTCGAACTTATAGCAAACATGCGATCGTTCGTTTGATCGCACTTGCAATACTAAACATTTAAAAAAGACTATGTATAAAGTACCTACATAACAAGATTAAGACTTAAAAATTTATATACACATTGTAATGGATTTTTCTGTTCTTTTCTATCTTGAACGACGCAAAAGAAACATTACTATCTTGTTATTATCGAAACTCGAACTTATGTACATAAATATTGGCGTACAAAAAATTATTGACGGGTCCCTAGCTTAAGTAAACAATCGTCATCGAAGAAATAAATACTTTTTGTAAAAACAAATAATTGCACGCTTGGGTTCGTTTCGAACAATGTAATCCCACCGATTATTGTAACGAAAGAGCTCGGCGAATTCGACTCGTTCGTGATGAATCAAAGTATCGTCGATTCTTCTTGCTGTTTGAGTAGAATCGCCAGCGCTTCTTCCAGGTTTTCGGGCAAGTGATCCAGGAGCATACGAGGCATTACTGACAGCTCCATAAACTCCTCCGGGAGTGCCCAGCGCATTTCGAACTGTTTCTCTTTGTTTTTTTTCCTGCGGAACAGATAAACGAATTACGTGTATCCGCGAGAGTGTAAATATACGCCATGATTGATTATTTATCTACTTTACTACTGATATTTACTTTTTTTTCTCCTTCGATGCTGGTTTACACTTAGCTATGTGCAGTATCCTGCCTGCTGTATACAGTCTGACCTTGGAGTATCTCCTTCTCGTGACGTCTCTTTCTAAAATTGTCGTCTCCTGAAAACAATGCCTCAGTTGAATGGGTAACTTTTTTGAAATAAGCGTTTCATACTTTTGCTGTACAAATTTTTTTCTAGTTTGATTAAATTTAAGTCGGTTTTTTTTTTTTTTTTATCTGAGAATGATTTTTTCTTTCCTTATAGAACAATTTATTTTTAAAAAGACATGCATAATAATACTGTGTATGTATTGGGCAGCTGAGTAAAATTCTTATTCAAAAAATTGCATGCTCCTTGCGTTGGACTTATTTTGATGTTTGAGTAACTTTACGTGCTTGAAGAAAATGTCGAATTTGATTGCATAGTTATTTATGAACGTTTTAAGAAAGAATCGATCGTTTTTTAAGTACGGATTTTTAAAAACTGTGTAAGTTATCTAATGCGCTTCTATATAAATGTTTGCTACAGAATATTACATGGAAATGTGAAATTTTTTACTTGTTTGGTCTTAATCGCAATAAGTGCTTCCATACCGTTTCTCGCATCGAAAGCGAATCGGAGAGTAGCGGCAGCTGTCCTGGAATCGAATTCATGGTGTTGCCATTTCTCCAGGTTCTGTCTAGATCTCTGTCAGGAACTCCAAACAGCATGTAGCCAAATCCGTTGAGAACAACTCTGTACTGCATTTAAAAAAAGAAATATATATTGCATATTATCATTCACCTTGATTTATTTAACGTATTATTCACTAAACACTCATGCTTATCCTAGTCCAAAAAAAAAATTCCATAGATTTACCAAGATGTGTTAAAATTTGATGAACTTAATAACAAATTTACCTTTGGAAGCTTACAAGCTTGTAATGTGATCAACAGCGACGTTCGAAAATTTTCCGTACTATCCACACTGAGTCTCATCACTAAATCGTCCCCTAGACCGATGGACAATACAAATTCCTCGGTCACTCTTGCAGCTTCCCTACTAAGTAGTCCAGCTGCAAGAAAAATTTTTTTTCACTTAAACCACGTAACAAATTTTACTCATATAACCACTCCAAATAAATCACGTGTTGACATAAGCATATCAAATTTTTAATTTTCAAAATCCTTCAAAAAATTTTGTGACTCAATTTCGATATTCTTATAAAAAAATATACAAATTTCTTGAAAACTCGGAGAACTTTTTACATGAATAATTATAACTTTTTTAATTACCAAATTAAGTTTTTGAAATACATGCTCTACCGTAACAACACCACCAACTCTCACGTGAAACGGTCAAGATCATCGATTTGTGACGTACCTGGCGTTGCAAAAGCGTACACCCTGAGCTTAGGATAGCGAGGTCGGATCAATGTGCCCAATAATACTGCTAGTCCAGCACCCAAGCTGTGACCTGAAAAGAAAATCACGATTTTTTTGCCAACAATTTACGAACAGAGTTGAAATAATCATGCCCGTAGCTTGTATCTACCTGTAAGCGTGAGATCGTAATGAGGATACGTTTCGAATGCCCTCTCCAGTATTTTGTACTGATCAAGCTGCCTCAACAGTACTCTGGCTCCTAGGATCATTCCTCTGTGTGCCTATAAAAAAAAATCAAATTTCCTCTTATTTCCATGCACAAATCAAGACTAAATCGTTATACAATCTAGTACAACATAATTTGCCGCGTGACAAACTGAGATAGAGTTTCGTGGTATTTTTCTCGTAAATTTTTTTTAATTTATTTATTCGGTTGTATGAGATAAAACAAGATTTGCCATTAAAAAACTTGTTAAATTTACTCGGAAAAAAATGATACGTCATTTACAGTGCCGTTAGACCGGGATTAGCATAACAAGAAAATGTCAACGATCAACGTAAGAAAAAAAAATGAATCTGTTGCACACCATGCTGCCGGTTGGTAGGCCCTCGGTCTCGAAAGAGTCGGAAGCTGCGGCGATGTCCGTGATGAGATCCCTGAGGGACAGCGAGCCTCTGATGACTACGACGATGCTCGACGTTTTGTGATCGGCAAGCACGCAAAACGGTATCTACACCAAAAAGATACATTACTTTACAATCGTGCAACCGGTTATCGACTCGTTAGGCCGTCGATCGGCATGCGCGATTTTTTTTTTATTTTTTATATATATCTACGAATTGGCGTCCAGTGGAAAATCGATGTTACCTCGCACAAGTGGTTCCGGAAGGAAGCGAACAGTATGTCGTCCTCCGAGAATTGAGAGAGCGTTTTCACACCGGCCAGACTGCACATGCAGCAGTTGTCGTCCAGTACAACGTTGCGTTTCCTCCTTTTTTTTAAACAATATAGTGAGATTTTGCAAGTACTTATGGTTAAATGAGAAGATGTACTGTTCTTTTGTAGCACCCATATTGTTTGCACGTTTTGAAATTGTTGTTTTCGAAAAATAAAAAGTATTTAAATAACATTGTATAAAAAATGTAAACACGTTGATAAAATGTTAAAAGTGCTGGATTTAATTGGTGGACTATACTGGTTTATAACAGCTTTTGGCAATATTAATATATTACTTTATTTATTTAGATGTAACATCACTGATTGAAGCCACGTAATACATAAGAATTGTAACAAAATGCTAAATGGGAAATATTTCGAAAAATAATTTTTTTTTTCTAATTTCTACTTTCAACGTTATTTGTCCATAAAACATATACTTTAAGCAGTATGCAAAACCCTAGAAAAGAGCCTTGTGCGATTTTCAAATGGTCATGGTTTTTTACAAAAATCCAGATAATACTATAGGGATCTATGTGCGAGTTGTAAAAAATAAAAAATAAAATTTACCGTAAGCATGAGCAACAGGTCATTTCGCGCAAGAGGCGAAAACAGCCGGTACACGCGTGCCTGTAGATGACGTAGAGCCAGCTGTAAGAGGCGATCGATAGTCGCATGTAGTGGTGAGCCCATTCCAGTGACATCCACGATGGCGCGTTTGCAAATATACTGATGCCATCTGAAAATTTAGCGATTTTTATTTATTTAATTTTTTTTGGAATTTTTGTAATATACTAAAATATACACGTATTTTTTTTAAGCAATTAAAGTTAGCTTTAATTAAACTTTTTTTCAGTCAGTTTATTGTTACCACTGTTGAAAAAAGAAATTCTGGAAACTCTTTTTTCTTAATTTTTCATATGGAATAATCTATCGTTTTAGGTTTTCCTAAGGATTTTGCGTAATCGTACCTTTGATGTACCAAAAGTTTGTTGAAATTATTCGTTATTTGAGTTTACGAATAAAATTATGTTTATGAAACAAAATAATTTAGCATACAAGTATCAAAAATACTCTGAAAAATCATTTTAATATCACGTAAACATAATCGAAGTTTTATTTCAATAAACAATTTATTAAAAATAAATTATTGAACTGTACTGTTTTAAATGATGTAGTGTCTCACTATTACATATTTGAGGTGAGTAAAAGAAAAAAAAATTCCTGAGACACCAAAGACATCGAGAGAAATTTTTAGTTACGGTAACACGGAATAAGAAGAAATTTCGTGAGTTTTTGAATTTCTAAAGTCACATAATAAGACGTAAGACACTTTAAAGATAAGTAAAATATTTGCATCACTGAGCCAGTTGTTCTTTCGGCTGATTTTTTTTTAGCAATTTAATGAAGATTTATTCCAAAAAGCCATTACTAATATATTGTTGAAATAGTTACTATACCAGAAGTGTATTTGGGTCGCTCGAAAATATTTAGCCTTCTGAGTTCGAGAGTCTCTCGCTTTTGCCGGACCCGCAACAAGATGCATCCTGCCATTACGTCAGATGGTACCAGATCAGTTCCTCGAAATAATGCACTAAGTAAGCCTGAAAGAAATTTTTTAGTTTGGACTTTGTGTGTGCATAAGAGTTTTTTGATGCGTATCAATGCGTTACATGTGATTGAGCAAAAATTTATTTGATCATTGCAAATCGACAAAAAAAAAAGATAAATAAATATGCTTCTTCGTACAAAAGCATACATTTCAGAGTTTAACGCGTTATGCTAAAAGAATAAATTTTTGTCTAATAATAAAAACAAATTTTATTCTTTTTAATATTAAGAATCGCCAATATTGGCGATATAATTATTATGACGTTAAATGTTCTCATACCATCAGAGATATGGGTTGCTTGGCTGAATTATTAAATCTGTTTCTTTTAAATCTATTAAATAATTGGATAGCAGACCTATAATATCATGATAATCCGGGTCGTAACAGACCATTTTCAACGATATGCAAAACCAAAAATTTTGATGTTGCTGAAATTCTTAAATGTTTTTTAAACATCCCTCAACACAAAACTTGAATATTACAGCAAATCATTCAATTAGCATAAATAAATATTTCAAGTCTCGTGTTTCTCAAAAGTATACAAATGTCACTATGCTTTAAACTTTTTCTTTTTTTTAATACGCCAACTATCTGCATGGAAAAAACAATAACGTCAATCATAAAAAGCGAAGTGAAGAAAAAAGACAGGATAAAGCACTCTTTGAACTGCCAGTGTGTCGTTACTTAAGGTATATTTAAAAAATGTGTTTTCTGTCTACCAAACGCGGCGGATGCACGTATATGTACCTATATCTCACCAGCAACATGTTCAAAAGTCTCGCTGGCGCTCTCGTCACGCCTCATCCACCAGAAGAACTTGCAGCGCCTCAACCAGATCTTGGATATCTTGACGTGCTCTATCGAGTCCTCGAGCTGCTTGTCCGTCAAGCCAAGGGAGCCCAAAGGATCGAAGATCAGAGCTAGTCCAAGTATCGTCAGGCCGATTAGCACCCAATCGAAGAGCACGAGAGCCTCCACCACTCCGGTCGTGTAGTGCTCCCGACTGCATTGCACCACGTCGCTGCACAGCCATACCGAGCCCAAAATGTTCCAGACTATTTCGGGCGCTATCAATAATATTCTGCAAAACGAAGCGGTATTTACCTATTGCTCTATTTTCCTATTTTTTTTTTTTTATTATTATTATTTTTTTTTTTCAACGTTATACCTAAAATTCTTCATTGGGTGGAACTTTTTCAGATTTCGTAGTAAAGTACAGCATTTTTACGCTATGCTTCGAGAGATTTAAATTTACTGTGTAAAAGTATAGAGAAACAAAAGTTCACATAATATAGTTATTGCAGTAAATCATTGGGATTTCAGAATTTCGTTTTATGAAATTTAAAACCAAATAACCTTTGATGGTTGTAGTTTGTTTAGGTGTTAATCAGTCAAAATAAAATTTTACTAAACGAATCTAAAAGTGATCAAGTCACAGGCCAAAATAGTGACTATATTCAACTGATAACATGATATTACAATTTTACTCCCAACTCTCAAATTAATTTGATGTAGTACGTTTTTATTCAATGAATCGAATAGTTATTTATTAAAAAAAAAAAAAAGAAAATTGTATCTCTGATTAACTTGTGTAACCATAAATAAGTCATCATCCATCACTTATTATCTAGTCGCAATTTGATACATAAAAACGATTTTCCTTTAACCACTAAATCATTCAACGGATGTTTAGCCAGTTATAAACACAGAGGGTGAACTATCATCCAGATGGGAATAAATTATTTTCAAGTTTTACCCGTTAAAACGGATAGAAAAAAGAAAAAAAACTACTACAAAAGGATAATTTTCCGCGCATTAGTGCATATTTTATCAAAGCTAAGGTGTACACCGACAGGAAGGCTAGTTAGAGATATAGGGAAAAAAAGTTATCACAAGCGTCTTACTTGAGCGTAAGCATAGGTTGTACGTAACGGCGGGCATAGGTGTCGGTGATGGAGCCGCGCGCGCTGTGATTTACTATGAAGAGCAGGAGAATCGTGACGCTACCCAATATAGCGAGCTCGCCCACGAGGTAGACTCGCACGAGATCGCCCCCCGATTTGCACCTCCACGTCTCGCCGTAGTACTTCCAGCAGGCTATTCCAATGAGTACCAACCTGTTTTCGGGTGGAGAGAAAAAAAAAACAAAGCGAATAATGCAAAGGGGAATAATGACAACCTTGTTTTTTTTGTTCATCATTGCAAACGAGTCGTTTATGCCGACGTGTATGATTTGCGGGTTGCGAGCAAAAAGTGTTTTGACGTTTAGAATGATGATGGTGATTTTTTTTTGTTTCGCCAACAACAACGAGTCGTGCGTGAGGTATAGGAGGTTACAAGTTGACGTTTTATTATACGCACGTGTGTGCAGTTACGAGCTGTTTGTGGGCAAGTGAAATGTCATTCACGCGATCTGTCATAAAAATTGCAATGATAGTTTTTTCAGAGTGCCATTTTTTCGTTTAATTTTATCGATCATCACAGTGGCACTTAAATTGTTGATTATTACATGATGTCATGATTATTTACTTTGGAATAGCTTGATTTTTTCTCGTTTGGTATATAACTTGTGATATTTTGTAATTAGTGATGGATTTATTACCAAACAACCCTGATGAATATTTCGAATAGACCGGGATAAACGAGATCGTCCGTTGCAGTCAGCCATTTTCTTCCAAACAGCTTGAGGGCTGGCATTTTCCTAAAAATAAAAAAATAAATTTAATTAATATCAAAAAGTTTTGTTTCAATTTCGAAAATTTCAGATCTACGACACAACATTGTGGTTTGTAAAATATTTTTCAAGTTCCAAATTCCACCTCGAATTATTAAAAATGAAAAAAACACATGGTAAATTAAAATGTTTCCATTTTTATGTTTTAAGGTAAAATCTTGCAAGACTTGTTGGTTTTTATTCGAGTTTTCAACATTATATAATTAAAAAACTATGAAATAAAAATTTGTAATCTCAGTATCAACTTTCACCCACGTACATTGACAAAATGTTACAAAAACTCACGTTGAAGAGATTCGATGAAGAATTTTCGCTATCAACTATTGAGATACCTAAAAATACAGCCTTTACGAAAGCATAAATCGTTACATTAGTTGATTTGGTTGACATTAAAAGTAATAACGGTAGAGAAAAAATTCACACGCAATCCAGATTCTCGAGGAGTCTCATGGTCTAGTAATTGTCGTAAAAACCCATTCGTTTCAAGCACTCAGATGTTTTTTTCATAATGCCCGCAATTGCTCAAGACGCCTATTGCGCAGAGAAGCAGAGGGAAGACTTATTGGGTTTCCAACACTCTCGGTGACTTTTCTTTTCCCTCCGCGCAACTTATTGTACAGATACGGATTCCTTCAGCTACGTGCGTTAGGCAATTTTTTTCTGTCGCAACCACTTTGCGCGAAACTTCGTCGGATCAAACGAACGGTATATAGCACGAATGACAAGGAAAGAAAAATGCATCGGTTTATGCGCTGTATGATACAAAATATATACATAACTACGAGAAACTACGGCCTTTGTGCGCGTGCTTCACTTGCAAAGTGCGTTAAAATGTGTATATTTTTTTTCATACGTTGCACATCTCACAGTTTTCCTGGGAAAATTTTTGTTTTTGTTTTTTTCGTAATTTTTACCCGATTTCGGAGTATTTAATACTACGCAATAAAATCGAAAAACAATCAGCGCAACAAAATATCATTCGAAAGATGAAACGTCAAATTAACCGCCGCGTCAGGTCTTCTATGTTTCGACGGACACTCGATCATCTCCGTCGTCTGTTACGTACATATCATTGTCATCGTAAAAGCTACAACTACATTAGACTACCATGTTTTTCTCGATTGCCTTTACAGCTGCTGCACGGAAAAACTAACTTGCAATCAGAGCCACAAATCACATGGATTTTTGATAGTACATTTTCCAGCAACTGTTACCACTACATTGCCTACAAAATTATATACGAGGTGAGTTTTGTAATACCTGGCGACGTGTTTCATTCGAGCAATTATGTGCTCTTTACTATGGTGGACACGAAAAAAAGCTTGGACTACATCTTCTAAGTGTACAGCATTTACGAGCGCGCAGTGATCGCAAGGGTTTGGCCGAGTTGTGGGTTTGATTGAAGTAATTACGAGCAGTAAAACGATTTCGTGCACTCGACAGATTGATTTTTATTGCTGGTATAATCGTGGTTTCAAGCACTAAGGACAATATCGGAAAGTTAAAGAATGAAATTTGATTAAAATTTTTTGTGATTCTAGTTTGTTAATTTGCGATGATTTATTGTTCTTCGCTTCATTTTTACAAGCTGGGTCTCCGCAAACTATAAATTGTAATAAAAATACCAAGTATTGTTAGTAAATTTCTATAGACTATCCTTTGTTAATTACATTTTCATTATTAATATTGTTATTACTATTATTATTAATTTAATTTACTAATTATAATAAAGTATTGAAAGATGTGTTTTTTTTAAGTTCGAACGATAAAGCTGTGTTCTAAATTCCAACAAAAAATTAAACGATTTAGTGCAAACATTTTCTTTGGCGATGAAATATTAAAAAGCACGCATTCTCGAAAAACGAGTTGTCGTTCGATAGTACAAAATCCGAGAAATGACAAAGAGTACGTATTCGCGAAATCAGAAGAAGCATGTACAGAAACGGAAGTATAAAGAAAGAACAGTGGAGGTTCGCGTGCATTTGTTAGATACGCACAGTAGTAATGCGTATGTGCAATTGTGCACCCATAATAATGTAACGGCTTTCTCTCTACGCATCTTCCTCCCGGAAACGCAGCGAGCATTGCCTCCTTGCGCTCCAGTAAGCTCGACGCTCGCAGCCCTATTTTTTTTTTTTAATTTCTTCGTTTCGTTTTCAGTCGGCTCGATTTTTTCATGCGTACGAGTGCTTTTTGTTACCAATTTGTTACGCTTAACGGGTTATGGGTACACGACATGCGTTTGACTGCTCCATGTATAATTAGTAGGGATGCAAGAAAATAGTTAATAAGATTTTGGTGAGTGAAATGATTCAATCCATAAATAAGAGACGCGAAAGATGTAGTATATTGTTACCAATAAGAACATAGACTAAAAATACTGATGGATTCAGAATACCCATGTACAGACAAATACCAAGAGATTGCGATTCGACGATAGAGACACGTGTGGGTAGATATATGTGTGAGTAACTGCACGAAGCTTAGACTTATAGAGGAATGAACACGGACAAATTGTCAAGTCACCGACAAAGATACGATAAAACGGAGTGATTCCAATAGTCTGGCAAAAAATTGTTGAAGCAATTCATTCGTGGCTGACAGTTCGATGTTTCTTACAATTTTAAAAACAAAATTCACTTGCACAACTAAATTCCGATTGACCTAAAAATCTCATGATAACAAAAAATCACCCAACCGGATTTCAATTCAGATAGTTTGAGTAATATCGATGTAATTGAGTATGTTGTCCATCAAACTTTAAGAAAAAAAATAATTCACCTCACTATGGGAGACCAAAATGATGATATATAACTGAAAGGAATAAAAAATAAAAATATTCTATCGAAAAATAATCATAACTTTAAAAAAAGGCGTGGAAAATTTCCGGTGGCATTGCTAGCTCAAGTATAACGCCTTTCAGGTAACAGGTAGGCACAATGAGTCCTCGATCTCGTACAAGGAAAGTTGCACGAGGAAAGATTATATGGCTAGCCCTACATCACATCTTAAGAATCCAATAAGAGACAAAAATATGATACCAGTTGCGTGTGAGTTTTTTTTTTTTTTTTTTAATAAAAGTTGCTTTGACGATCCTATATTATAGAGTAGTGCGCAGCAACTCGCGGGATTCCCGTAAGATCACAAGATGAGGCATCTCATAACAGGTCTCGAAATAAAATGTATGAAAGGTCTGCATCTGCACCACAGTTTGTATCACCGATGCGAATGCGTGTTTAAGAATGCTGCTGTTAATGAAAATTTTTGCTCTCTAGCAAGTTCTCTAGCAAAAAAAAAAAAAAAAAAAAAAAAAAATTACCCACCTAATTGGCATTTTTCTGTGTTAGCTCTACGATATATAAGGATCAATGGATACATTAATTTATATTTCATGAGACCCCTACATATTTACCTGGCGATTCATTATCGAGGAAACTTGATCGCAGCAGCGCTAAAATTTTTTCGCATCGAAGCAAAAAATCAACACCACAGACACCAATGACGATCGGTGCATCTGCATTTTCACGAAGAACAAAAAAAAATATCAGTGCCAACACTAAAACCTGCTCACATACACACGAGGGTTGTTTTTATTCGTAAAATGGACTCATCACATCACTTTTCCCTCCAAATTCACTTTGCACGAGTCTCGCCTCCACTGGCAGATGCACGTACAGATGTACATGCGGTATGTACATCCGCGTGTATGAGACGCGCTCGAATGGACGTGCGTGAATCGTTCGAGCCCATCGAGCAAGTAAAGTGATGTATTATTCACGAGGCCTCGGTAGGGCCGTCGCACTGCTACGCTGTACAACTGCTTCGATTTTCCTTTCGTCGAGTACGTCTGACTCACGTGTACTCTGCTACCGCGACTGAGTGAGAATCATTTCAGTGTGTATTTTCACACAATGTGGATGATGTGTGACATGGACGACAACGCTCACTTTTAAGTGACCCTTGAAATAATATGCCTCTGGTTTCGTAACCGTCTTATCGTAATTAGTAGGAGCTTCTTCGTTGGTAATTTTGCTCACTTTTGCGCTAATGATGAGTATTTTTTATTTTATTTTAAACTATCATTGGTTGCGTAACGTAAATTTCCAGTATTTTATTTTATTTTTTTAATTATGCACTCAATAAAACATAACAAGAAAATCAATAATGCTATGTGTTTTTACACAAGGTAGCAATTCGAGTTTTTCATTTTGTTATTTAATATTTACACTCCAATTTAATTATTTCTTTTCCAGTACTTGTATTTTACTAAATTTTTTTAAGTAAAAAGCCTCTTTATCTAAGCTTTGTCATACAATATTTGTGAGTTTCAATAATGAATTACAAAAATTGTATGCCAGTAAAAATTAAACATTTTTTAAAATATATATATTGTACATCACTTTTTTACATAGTTTTGTATTTTAAAAAATTAATCGATTATAAGAAATAAACAAAGAAACAAACCAAAAAATCAAAGAGATTTTTTCAGTATTATCTAGTCACTTTTCTTTGTGCCACAGCGTTTAAACAAAAGTAAGTGTATGCATATTTAAATAAGTATAATAGCTAAATCATTCAATGAAGATTGAAAAAGCTGAATAGTACAGTTTCATAGCCAAATTTTAAGAGAAATTCTGTAAATTTTTGTTTTTATTAAACGTGATGTTTTTATAATTATAATCTACGTTATTATAACATACACAGAAATATGTTTAAAAATTGTATCCAAACAATTTCAACTTATTTATAAGTCAAAGTATCACACATCGTAATTCCAATCAACGCATAACATATAACTAAAGTATAGGATTTTTTTGACAACAATTAAATCTTAGCCTTTAATTTTACTAAAGACTTCTACGTTGTATAAAATTTCTAAAGAATAACAAATACTACCTAAGTAACCGTTAATTGAAGTAACAACGGTCATAAAAAATTAAACATATAGGTACGTAAAAAAAAGATAG